ATGAAGATTCTGTGCTCTCTGATAACTCTCTGACATTGTATTTGTTCCATAGCTTTCAGCAGGCCACCGATGAGATGATGCATTTGAGTTGGAATTATTAAGTTTCATTTCTTGCATTTCATTCTGTCAAGACAGTGTGCCAATCAAGAGTATAACTATGTATTACATAGGTATTTGTAAAAGAAAATATAAGGAACAGTCCCTATCTTTTTGCTATTTAAAAGCCATTGGCCATCCAGCTGTTTCAAGTTCATTGTTGTTGTTATCCAGTGATTTGCACACACTTTCAGGACCTGCTCACGCAGGTTCCAGCTCAGAAAATAAAATAAATAAATCAACAGGCACCTGTCAGAATCATCCAAAATCTGCCCGTGCAGAACAAAGTATTAAGATTGTGTTCTAAAGCCAGAAGTAAAAAAACCCAATCAAACAAACAAACAAACAAAAAACCCAAAACAGAGCGAAGTGGGTAAGAACCAAGCTGATGGAAGCAGAACTCTTCCTGAACACAGTCCTTGGAAGGGTTGCTTCTGCACCCCTGCCCACGTTTCAGGTCAGAGTTTTTAAGCAAAAAGATTTACTCTTGCATTCATTTAAGGTAGATGTTTACAGAAGATAATGCCACTGATTTAAGTAGTAGTCTAGGCACTGTAAGTTAGCTCATGCTGTTATCACTAAGTCCTTACCATAACTAAAAGGCCAACGGTTCTTCACTGAATATGGTGACAAAATTGTTTACCTTTAAAGCTTCCACTTGCTGACAGATCATTTCAAGTATACATCTGTGATCTTCTGCCCACTGAGGAGGAGTTTTAGGAGAAAACTAGGAAAAAAAAGTAAATTGAATCTCATGAATTTTTATTCAAATATGACAGTTCCCTGAAAACACAGCTGGCCAATATACCTTGTAGCTCTTAGTTGGCGAAAGAGAGAACTTAGTTGGTGATGGAGTGGAATGTTTCATCTCTGAATCTACAGCTCGTGACAAACCATTTCTGAAGGCAGGACTTCCCTCTTCACCATTCTCACCAAGTTCCTGGATCACTGTATCTAGCATTTCCCTCACTGTTTCAATAGACACTGGCAGCTACAAAATAATGTGAAACGTGAGTCAAGATTGCAAGTCTCTCTCAGAGCAAGACAGGCTACATTCAGAATTCTGGCTGAACAATTCACAAGGCTTTCACTACACAAACACTTTTTTTCAGCAAAGCTCTAAATCTGTTAAGATTAATGTAAGAAAACAATTCACACAAACATTAATTCTATTTTTTTCAAATGACTGACTACCGTAAAAAATGGTAAAAGCTATTTGTTTATATTAAAGCTTTCATCCACAGAGCAGTCAGAATATTGCTTGATCTGGTAGGTTACAAAAGTTACCCAGCGTTTATCAACCCACTGGTGTTAAGGAGGTTATTTGTCTTGAGTGAAGAAATAAGTTTAACTTAAGCTAAGATAAATGCAATCAGTTTCATGTGGAAACATCTCTCAAAACAAGTTTTTAAAGCAAGAATTACTTACTTTCTCAGTTACTGACATATCTGAGGAGCTTTCCTCAATGATCTTCATTAGATAATGCTTGCTTTTAAGAAGATAGGTTTTGTGTTCTTCTTGTTCTTCCGGCAGCATGGCATCATTTTCAATCTCTTCTGCTTTTCTTTGGAAAATCTAAAGAACAGGAGGCAGATTAATTAGGATCAGTCAGAAGGCAACTGAATAAAGGAAAGCATTTTGGAGCAACCTGAGCTAGCAGAAGATATCCCTGCTCACTGCACAAGGGTTGGACTAGATGGCCTTGAAAGGTCCCTCCCAACACAAACCATTCTGTGATTCTGCAATGCAATTTATAAACTTACCACAGCAAGATTCCAGTATGAAACCACATTCTTAATAGCTTCAAATGCTACTAAAGCGTCATCAGTTTTGCCATCAACTGCATCCAACATTGCAAATGCTATACGTGCCTCTTCTTCATACGCTGCAACCTGAAAGACCTACGAAGAAAGTGAAAGGCAACTCACACCTACCGATGGAATGACATATCCAGTATTACTTTTCTTCTCAACATACAGAGAAAAGAAAGCTAGTACTAAGGCTGTTCAGTGCCTTCCAAACACATACATTATTTTAAAGGTAAGAATAAAGTTGTAAGGAGAGATTTTTTCCCTATGTTTTATCAGACACTGATACTACCAAATCTCATCATTAACAGTTTTATAGTAATAACAACGCAAGTTGTACAACGCTGAAAAAAATCCCACAACTATGTAAGTTTCTGACATAGACGCTCTCTTACTTCAACTTTGGCTTAATCAATCTGTACCTGAATGTCTACACTATGGAAGTGTTTGAAGAGAGGATCAGTAGGTTCAGGAATACCCCTCTTCCTTTTAATAGTTTCCAGCATAGGCAAGACTTTCTTCCAGTAGTAGACACTTCGTCCAATGTATTCCTTCTGGTCATAGAAGGAGTTAAGACTAACGCCCTGGTGAAGAAAAGGGAAAAGAAGCACACGTTATTTCAACAAATTCAAGTTAAAATGCTATTCATACATATCCTTCTGGTTTTCTGAAAAGTTCCAAAAAGTACTTCTCTGACACTTGAGATAAGCCTTAGGGGCTTTACCTTGAGAGCTATGTAAAGTAATGTACATGTAGAAAATAAGACTACAGCTCAAGACAAGAGTAGGTCATAGGGTGACTAGAGCAACTAACTGGCCTGACAAAATAAACAACAGTTCTCAATAACACATTCTTAACTGATTTTATTCCCCCCCCCCCACCAGTCTTTTTATAGTTTGGAAAATAAGAGAAAAAAAATCTCTGCTTCTACACGTTTAAAAATAATCTCAGCTTACTGTTTTTTGCAGGCTTTTTGCCCAGTGGATAATTAAAGCAGGTTGAAGGCCATGCTTCTCCAGTGTCCGCAGAGTACTTATTCCGTGCTGCACGACAAGCCTCAGTTTTGCTGCTGTTCCTGGTCTGAATAGCAAAAGAAACATTCCTTGATTAATATTCTCTATTTTTCATGTGTTCACATGTCATTTGCTTGATGAATACGGCCCGCAGTTTTAGTTCTGACGCGCTTCTAGTTTAGAAGTGCATTATTAGAAATTAAAATTCCATTTTTATAAATCTTTCAAGTGTATCAGTTCCCTACTACAAAGATTCAATGTCCAAATCATGTCAAACAAGAAACTTAATTTTACAAGAATCTACTGGGACCAATCCAAGCTGATGTAGCAGAAGCTGCCTAAAAGCTTGGTCAAACATTTCCAAACTAAGAAAGCCTTACGTTGTTTTTCTCTGAATAATAGTACGGACGGCATCCCACCAGGACCTTTGCTTTTCGGTATAGAGCTGTTTGCACACTGGCAATGGTAAGAATTGAGGCTGATGTGCTCCATAGTGAGAATTAAACTTCTCTTGCAATTGTAAGTTGCTAGTGAATACCACACCAAGTAGAAATACCTGTTTTATGTAAAAAAAAGGAAAAAAAAATAAATACCAAAAAACTTAAACTGTATAGGACATTTAAGAACTTGGAAAGTTTACTTACTTCAAGGTCCAATAGGCAAATAGATTCAGGAGCATCTGTCTCAAGTCTCGACGTTTCTTGAGGCAAGTGAAAAAGCTGTTTTAACCATTTGCGCATTGGGGGTAAGACTGACATAGAGTTCCACTGCAGGCCGAGCCACACCAGGTGCTGGAGGCTGCCGTTGTGCATTCGAACAGCACCTATGCAAAAACAAAGATGGATGCAGATGTCAGCTTCCTGCAAGCCAGCAAGACTTGGATCTCATCAAAGATGGGTTTCACATTTCACTTTGACAAAGCAGACAGAGATACTCGGCAGACCAATGAGCATCAAGATTCCAACTTTCACTTAAGAAAGATTACAAATTTCGAATTAGCCAAACACACCAAGTAGACAGTTCATCTGAGTGCTCAAGCCATCAACCCCTTAAGCTTCTGAGGAGGTGACTCTCAGATTTCCTCTCACTTCCACCCTCACCATACTCAGTCCAACAGGTGACTATTTTTAGCAAACCTATTTACTTCTACAAAATCTTTAAGGAATATAAAGAAGCACTTCTTTACTTAGCAATAAACTCTTAAGTCTTGCCTAGGACATTAGGGCAACTTTGGGCAGCTATTCCAGGTATCTGTCTTTTGTTGCAATATGAAGTATTTGTAGAATAGCTTCTGGTACAGTAAGTTGTGTTGAGTTTCAGAAAGTAACATCTCTTACCAATATCATATTTATTAAGTTCCATTTGCACTGGTGCTTGTGCACTGACATTTCCAATATCGTCTGTTCCAATAAAAGACCTTTCTCTAGAAGCTCCACTCTCAAAGAGGCCATCAAACAAAGTAAACGAACCACTCTTGTTTGCAAAAGATTCCACAATCTCTTTAAAGAAGTCTTGCTTGCCATGGCTTAAATTCAGTAACATATGACCTAGAAAGCAAAAATACCACTTCACATAAATAAAACAGTGAGCATAAGGAAAGCAGTACACGTTGGATTGTTCTTGCTGCTGAAGACTGGGTGGGAATCAGGATTTTGCCTTATGAAACCTACAGATTGTTAAATTACATTTCTCCCTGTAATTAGGTCAGTGTTTCAGCACACAGGCTTTCCAAGCTTTTAGTGACAACAATCCCAAGGCGTTTGTAAATCCAGTTCTTCAGGAAAACAAAGTCACCTTATTATTACTATTCTAGGAGCATTGCAACTGTCCTTAAAGTGAGTAGCTGTAACACAAGTAGAAATCTGTTTTATCAAGATCCATTCTGAAACAACTGAACCTGATGTCTAGTGGGTTCGTTTGTTTTCATCTAAGCCCTGCAAGAGTTTGTAGACTGAAAAAATGTCCGTACTTAGCAGTAAAAAGAACAAAGCTGATGACCAAGTAGGAGGATGGAACAGACAGGGAAACAGTAATATTTTATTTTCCTCTTGAGGCTAACAATACTTCCAAATCAGTAGCAGCAGGCAGAAGCCATTTCCAGTAGATTAAGAGACCATAAAGGTTAAATTCTACCTTAGTGTGCTGGAGAGGCAAAAAATGGAAAAAAAATCCCCACACTTGAAAAAAGAGAAAGCAGTCTACTAGCATGCTAAAGAGGGGGAAAAAAAACCCCAAAAAACTGCTTCAGGTGTCAGGACCAAACTACTGTTTTGTTTTACTTAGGTAGTCAGAATCTAGGAGGTTGTGTTAACATTACATTTCAAGATAACAAATGTGTTCTTTAACAAACCACTTAGTTACTTTAAAAGCTATCTGTAACATTATAATCTGTGGCTATTTTTATTACCAGACTGGCTTTTCCGATCGCAGGCCAACATTTCTAGTGCATCTTGACCAGTTTGGTCCCCCTTTATCAGTTTTGACTTTGGCTTAGGAACCTGGTGAAGTAAGGAGAGAATTGTTACAGTTTTTTCAAAATAAGAGCAGATCATTTACATTAGTCTTAAATTCAGTCTAATTAGAAAACAAGCACCTTTTTAGCATTAGGAAACTGTAGAAAAAATACATAATTCATTCTGAAGGTAACATGTCCCATGTCCCCAGGGGGTGGGTGGGGAACCCACCCAAAACCCCAAGGCAGGCAACTATAGCTATTGCCAGTAACACTGAGTACGCACAAGAGCAAGTAATACCTGGAATGCAAGCAGTGGCATAAAAGGATAATCAATTTTATTTCATAAGGCAAAGAAGTAAGCTTGATTTTTTAGCTCTGCTCTCTATACAACAAATATATGGGAACTATCCAGCTCATCCCCTTCCCTCCTTACAGCAATAAGCCTAATACTTAACATATATGTTCAGCTATACTACAGAAAAGGGAATATCCTGTAAGAAATAAACTCACTAGCCTTTAAGAATCAGGTTACTCTGACCAGGGAAACAGCTGAAGACACACTTTTACCCTGTGCAAGTCATTTGAAACCTTTTAAAGCATTGTGAAAGAGTAGGGTTTGGTGACTGAGGAGGGAATCTTTCCTTGGGCACACAAACACACGTTTATCTCAGGAATACAAGGAGTCCAGCACATGCACAGCAATAACATTTCAAGAACTGCATCAACTAATGGCATAAACTGAAAACTTACTCACCTGGAAACTTATTAGATAACACAATGCTGCTAGTTCACACACAACTCTCCACTGTGCCTCACTGTGTTGGGCCATTTTCAGTAGCAAAGTTCCAGCATGCATGTACAGCTGTCCTTTCATTTCCACAAAGGTACGAGACAACTCATCAGCCCCGTTCACATACGGTTTCACTGACTGGAGCGCACGATCAAAACTACAATGCAGAGAAGACTCATTCTAAACAGAGTCCTGGTAAAAGCTACAGCAGATGGTTTTGGCTGATGCTATTTAACTGTGAATCAAGTAACTTCATGAGTCTATGGTTAGTAAGGTCTCTCTTGCTTAAACCTGGGTTGCACTGGAAAGTACAATAATAGTCTCAAACTCTCAAACCTCTCAACTTAGTTTGTTGAAGTAAAACACATTAAATATTACCTAGACATTTACAGTCTTTTTCAGCACATCTTTGCACAGGTGCTTGCAAAACTATCATCCCAAACCACATGGATAAACTTGTTCACTACTGCAGATTTAGAGACATGCAGGAGGTACCAGTCACTCTGCTATTCCCTTTCCTTAATTTATCAGAAAGGCCCAAAATACAGCAAGACAGGCTCTTAAAAAAACAGGTACTGTAGAAATGCAAGTAGCTGTAAGCTAGTACACAACCCACTCTTAGGAGAGGCTTTCCAGAAAACAGTTAAAACACTCTTTCAATTATCTGGCAAAACTATAATGGCTGTTAGTATCGCCATGATCTGGAAGTGCTTCAGATGTAATCACCTTGAAAGGTCCTAATGGCAGCAGAAAACCCAAGATGGTTTTAGTTAATATTAAGAGGAGATAAAGAAAATACAAGGTACTTGGGCATTAAGTATTCCTCACCCATTGCCTGTACTGCTTCAAATACTCATTCAAGATGCACAGGCTGAAGATACTGTTTTACAAAAGACAATATAGCAGCCATTGCATAATTGATGAACAAAGGTAAGTCAATAAAAGCCAGTAAGAAACAGAAGATAACAGAAAGAAAGGAACACAGATCTTAATCAATATATTGACTACAAACATTGTTTTGTACTTCTCTAGGTGTGCCACAGATTATATACTTTGAAGTGAGCTAGCTCAGCTGGCACTGTAACACCATCATCTTCCCCCATCCCCTGCCCCGAAGGAGTGTTCTTACTGCAAGTTACTTCCTCCCTCCCAATTACATTACATACTTAAAGTTCCTAATTATTCCAGTATGTGTTGTGTCAATTTAGAACAAAATAACCGGGACAAAGCTGATAAACAAAAGGTGATTTTGGTTTTTTTGTTGGTTAGGGGGTTTTTTTGTTTGTTGTTTAGCTTTGGGGTTTTTGTGAGGGTTCTTAGCGGCTAGTACAGAGAATCTCCCTCTCCCATCCACAAAAAAGCTAAGCAGTGGAAAAAAAAAAAAGCTTGGTAGATGTTCTGCAGGGCGGGGGGGGGGCGGGAAGAGGACAATTCTTCGAGATTTTTTTTTTTACTATAGGAAAGTTAAAACAGTACCTTTCAAGTGCCTCTCTGCATTCCTGAACATCTCTAGAAGAAAGCATCATTTTGACAAAGCTGGAATAGGCCAGCAGATGATCTTTCTTGATAGTTCTCCAGTTATTTTTATCAGACTCCAAGTCTTGTAAAGATTCCAGATATTCCTAAAGAAGAAAGTTCATCACAGGATAAGGAACAGTCATCCTTCCATGAAGGCAAGGCCAGTACTTCTCCAAAACATATTAGTAGCATTTACTGCACAATCCAGTTTCACAGGTGAGACCTTAACACATTCTTCAGCAGCAAAGTTCCAGAGAACTATTTGCCTGAGCAATTTTATCCCTAATGGAACTGCTGTATCTAACTCAGCTTTTGAAGTCAGAAACTCAATAAGCTCTATAAGGCTTAATTTTAGGGAGAAAATTTCAATTAAAAAAAACAAGAAGTATTTTGTAATTCCACTGGTTTCAGTAGACTTTCATTTGAAGGAGTTAAATCACTTGAGAAACAGCTGTCAGAGTAATGACATTAAGACAAAAAGATCAGTTAAAAAGATATGGAAGACTATCACAGGATCAAAATATGATTAAACACCTCAAACGTCTCTACAACACAGGAACACCACTCCAAGCTTGTCTGCAAAGGTATTTTCTTCTCTGCCTCCTGACAATGGAGCACAGCATCTTTTAATCTATTATTTGAACGGTAGAGGGCAACTAGTCTGATGTTTATGTAGACATCATCTGGTCTTGCATAAAGTTCTGCTTGAATCAAGTCAAAAAGCTGATTCCATCCATCTTCACCTTTACAATCCAATAACTGCTCCTGTTAAACATGAAGGTAACATATTAATATTTCATTTCCTATGCGAGTCTTTTCAGCAACTACAGCACCAGACAGCTTTCTTTCCTCCACTATGTAGACTACATTACTCAAACTACACTACGCTTAATAGCTTTCAGGTATTACATAAAGTTTGAAGAAATACTCAAATATTTAAAAATTGAGACAACTACCATAGAAAAACCAACAGTAAATAATGCTTGTCAACTGGTTCAATGACAGCATACCCTGCCACAGACTTGCTTAAAAATCCCCAGACATCTTAAGCAAAAAAGCAGCATAGAACAAGAAAGTCTGAATTCACAGGCCTGCTATTTGCCTGCTATTTGCACAATACAAAGATGAAGTAGTGCCTGTCTGGTCTTCGCTTCTCAGATGTGATAACTAACGCAGTTTCTCACCATTTTTGAGGAGGATTAACCTTGAAACATTAAGAAGAGTAAGAAAGCCTGTAGCTGCAGCTTTCTTGACAGCTAGACAAAAATGTTAGACTGCAAAGAAAGTAACACCTAATAGTTTTAGCATTAAAGATTCTAAAATAATTTAGCCAGGAAGAGTTTTGCATGAGATAACATGCAAAAAGCACTCCAGTCAGATGCTGATAAGTTTCCTGAAGCTACAGAACAGATTTAATTTGGAATGTACCTTCAACCTGTAAACAGCAGGACTCCCAGGGAAGAGCTTAGCAGCCCTCTCAACCCAGTATTTTGCTCTTCCATCAGTAACGTCATTATTGCACAGCAACTCCGCAATCTTCAGTACAAGATCTTTCTGCGTTGGGTTCAACTCCACAGAACGCTAATTTTCCCCACGCAGACACAGGAGAGAGAGAAAAAAAAAGTAACTTTTTTATAAAGTTATTTCAGAATAGGAAAGAAAGTTATGCTCCCACAAACAGACACAGCTATTCAAATTAGTCAGATTTATCAATACAGAAAATATTTTAAAAAGCCTTTCTAAATGCCACCACTAGTGTACAGCACCCAGGAACTCCCAGGTACAACTGCTGGAGTTCAGAAGAGTGTAAGAGAAATAATGCAAGAGCCAGCAACTCTGCACCTGCCACTAGCTACTGCTATACACAGGCAGTCTAGCCAGATATGGATGCTTTTAAAAAAAACAACCAAACAAACAAGTTAAGAGACACAGTTTAAGAAGAGTGATAGCACTTCGTGGAGTTGTGTTGGCCATCAGACTTCTGAACACATCGTCTCCCTCCCCAAAACCAGAACAAAGACATTGCGATTGGGAATTTGCCATTTATATGCTTGCCTAATCAAAACTAGATTTGCCCATCCCTTCTGTCCCCATTGCCTCCAGAACCAACCAAGCAAAAAACCCTCTAGGCCTACAGTCTTCTAGTAGCAACTAGACTCCTATTGTTATCACAGCCCACATTACTGAATTCTACAACAGTCACAGATCACTAGTCCAAAAGGCAATGTACGACACAGAGAGGAATTTAACAGCAAGTAGCACAAAGACCAAGTCCAGAACAATAAACAAAGAATCAACTTAAAAATATACTACTGAAGCAAGTGATGTTAAGTGAAGAATCTCCTCTGCAGTGCTTCATATGCTTCCCATTGTCAAACATGTATAAATAATACAGTTTTTTCCAGGAACACGGTTTTTCTATGGGTTTGAGAACGTTTAGCACAGAAAGATTTTAAAAGTCCATTTACAAAGGAACAAAGCAGAACATTAGGAGTCAGTGTAGTATTTACCTTGTAACACCCAAAAGCTTTTTCTATGTTATCCTCAGCTTCATAAATTTGTCCAAGAAATCTGTGTGCTTTGGGATCTCTCTCTTGTACGCTGAGGTATGTGGATATATACCTATGGAGGGGAAAAAAGTCAAGTTACTTGACCAGTATTTCTCATTAATACCCCCTCCCCCCAGCCTATAATGATAACTTAATCAGCCATGCAGGAAGTATAGACATACTTTGTTCTAGATACCTTGTCTGGACCTTAAAGTAAGAAGCAACATTGTTTTACATGTACAGATGCTACTTACTTGCCAGCAAGTATTTCTGCTGATTAAAAAAAGCAGTAGTTCACAAGAACTACATAATATAAAGAGATTAAAGAAGCCATTTAAAACAGGTAAGTTTTGCAGTACCACATAACTAATCTTTTTTTCAAG